GGGGGGGGAGAAATTAAATGTAGAGCATGTCTGGGCCCAGCGTACAGATAATTGTTAACCAAAGATTACATAATGGCTAAGTAATGTAAACAGATAACCACATGCCAAGTTAATGTTCTCACAGGCCATGCTGGAAGGGTTTCATGCAGTTTTCTCAGGCACACGTTTTAAAATGTGTGTGTGTTCCTCAGACATCCTCTCTAAGCCATCCAGTGTGTCCTCTCCAAAGGTGTGTGGCAGTGTTCGGGGGCAACTGCCAGGGCTTGTTAAGGGTGTCACAGGAGCTGAGAGGAATGTCATCCTTTGGTCCCTCTGAGGTGCTTGTCGCCTGCCAAATCAATATCTCCCTGCTCAGTTCACAGCCACACACACACACACACATATGTAGACGCTAAACTGCAATATCCTGGTGGTGATGGGATTGGCAGCTTCCCTGGGAAGAGGCAAGCTTTAACACGTGTCTCTGTTTCTGTTGCAGAACGCTTCAGTTTAATGGCTGGCAGGTAGAGGCCGAAGAGGGACAATCAACATGAACTCCATTCCGTCTATGGACAGACACATACAGCAGACAAATGACCGTCTGCTGTGCATCAAACAGGTGAGAGTGTTGGGACTGTCTGTTTTACACTGTGTGAGGCTTGGTGCATAAGCCACAGAAGGTTCATGTATGCTACCTGTCACCTGTCTGACAGCTGGAAAGTAACAAGGTACATTTACACTAATATTGTTAAGTAAAATTAGGTAGTTTTTAGCATTTTCATTTTGGTAAACGTTTTATGCATAATAATGTTAATCAAGGAAAAAATATAATTGATTTCAGATTTAGTTATAGGCTCATTCTATATGCAGTCCCTTGGCAGGTACACAAAGAACAATCAGCCGAAAATAATAATTTACATAAAACACAACGCGTACAGTCAATCAGTAATTATTTAAAGAAATCTACAAACACACATATAAATATCAGCACAACTATGGAATTCCAATTAAGATATCTGAATCATGGCCAAATTAATGTGAAGTATGGTTGGTCAAAATCTAATTCTTTGTACCATGGGAAAAAGACTGCAAGTCTGGGAAAGTTTCAAGACTCGCTAGAAGTCTATTTCAAGACAAATTGTTATAAGACAAGTCGTCTAAGACTGTTGAAGAAAAGGTTATTTTCCTTTGGGTCTCAGAGCAGGAAAACTCTTATCCAAAGTGTTACCTTTACAGTGACAATGACATATAAGTGTACGTAGAAGTATAAAGCAACATGAGACTCAGCTCCACCTGGAACATGTAATATCAAAGATTCTGCTTACAGGCTAATAAACTAATCTAAAAATAATGAAACTTTAAATTCAATTGCAACACCGAGCAGTGGCTCAGTCAGTAGGGGATTGCACTGTGAGTTGTAGGGTCGCCGGTTCCAGTCCAGTCCCGGACCAGACCTAAAAATGGAGTGTGGAATGCTACTTGGAGAGGTCCCAGTTCACCTCCTGCCCTGCCGTGGTGCCCTTGAGCAAGACACCGGACAACCCCTCACTCCCATTGCTCCCCGGGCGCTGTACAATAGCTGCCCACTGCTCCTAGCACTAGACTCCTGGTACTAGGATGGGTTAAATGCAGAGGCCAAATTGCACTCTGCATGTGTGACCATTAAAGAGGGTTTCATCCCTCCCAATATATTTATATATATATATATATATATATATATATATATAACACATTATATTTGCACAGTGGTAAAAAAAACAGTGCAAAAAAATTGGGCTTTTGTCAGTGTAACGTTTAGTTGAGGAAGAAGGCATGGTGGCAAAAGAATGACGGTGTAATTACCGTATGACGCTGTGTATTACTTTTTACACAATTCAGTTAATTTTTTATGTTAATAACCGTAGGCAATTATAATCTGTATGAATCAAGTTTTGGTACATTTCTAAATGAGATTCAGTGTTAAATGATCTTGAAGGGCTTGAAAACTGACTGATTGACTAATGACTTCCCAGCAAAAGGTTTTTTTTCTGAGTTGCCTACACAAATTGATTTTGTAAAGATACATTTACCCCATTTGAACCTTTATGCAGAGAGTCATTTCCATATTTGTTTATTCCTCTATTTGTTTGGCTGGTAATAAGGTTCTAACTCTCTGATTTCCTTTTCTAAGTGTGTGCTTGTACACACGCTTACAGCGACGGCCATAAGGCACCCTAGTCTCCATGTTGGGCCACAGCTAAGTGACTAATCTGTTCAGTCTCACTATCAGGACTGTGGTGTGACTCGGGTTACTGACCGGGGTCAAAGAGCAGAGGCTCCCCTCCCTCCCCCATCATCACCCTCCTTTTTCTCCCTCCACCACCGCTGACTCCCAGCGAGTGCTTTTGTTCTCCTCTCCCCACCGTTTACTGCGGGACGAATCTCTGGCAGAATGAAACAGACATACTTGAGTAACCCCGGGCTACAGGGCTCTCTCTTTGATCTCTTTTCTTAACTGACGGCCCGTTTTGTTTCAGGACTCTGTGCTGAGGTCCACCTCCTGAAAAGTACATCAGAAATGCCTTTGGGACTATGTATGGGGCTCAAGCTTAAACACAAGTGTGGACGTGGCAAATTGTTTTACCCTCGGCGGGGAGTTCCCTGCTATTACGGAGAGAGAGACAGGGTGAGGCAGATAGCAAGACGGGGCGAGTGTTGAGGGAGCAAACAGAGGGAAGCCCCTATGTGTAGAGCCAAGCTTTGATATCCTTAAGTAATAAGGTAGACAGAGGCACACACTCTCTGTCTGCATGCTGGATACCTTCTTCACAGCAGGGTATTAAATATTCAATATCCCCTCCTCCTTTACTTGTATGGGAGGTGAAATTGGGTTCTATGAATGTCCTGTATTCCTAATAGCTAATGAATTATTCTGTAAAGCAATTTCACAGAACAAGGAAAGAGACTTGCATCTGTCTAACATAACAAAACATTTTAACAATTCAAATGTTGCCGGGGTTAAATGTATTAACCCCCGCAAGCCAACAGTTTAAACAAACACGTCCCAATGTTAGCGGCCGGGGAACCAGCACATGGGTAAACATGCCAATTAGAGAGATCCATGGCATACAAGGGGGCCTCCAGTCCATCTAATAAATGGTTAAGCGCCGGGTCATTTCAAACCAACCAGTAAGAGCCAGCACCCTGCTAATAGAGGCAGCTTTGTGCACAGACAATCAGGGTTTGGAAGGCCCGCATAATAAATACCATTTATGTCCTGCCAATTAGACTAGCAGTGAGCCCATTCAGCCGGCCGTCTATTCTCCTCCCCGCACACAAAGATGATCATCAGGGGAGATCAGAACAATTAACTCACTATCTTCTCCCCCTGCTCCCCATTGTCCAATATCCAAGCCATTAAAATAATTAAGGAAATATTGTAAACCAATCCAGCTGTTTGCTTTAATTGAAAGTGTGCACATGCTGAAAATGTGGCATCTCGAAGGCAATGCGGACATAGAGCAGGAATATAAATGAAGCCTGCTCCATTGTGTTGTTGTTTTCTGGAAGATGTGACATGTCTGTCTGAATACTCCCAGCCAGTGCAGCGGACAGGGGAACAAATTGATTTTGTTGCTCGAATGATAAATTACTGCCGAGCGTGATGATAAAGTAGAGGAAATTGGAGTCTGTCAGCATGATTGAATCACGGGTTGAAAGTTGAATCAGAAATCATTACAGTGGTAATTTTTAAATTGCCGTCCTGTTGTGAAATTGCAATAATATGATTTATAAACAATAACGTAACCTTAACTGATCATAAACTATGGAAACATGGTGGTTTATCACCCCAGTACACTAATTCAGATACTTAAAAGGACTTTAAATACATCTGATGTCTTGTTTACTTTTTTGACATTAATGTTAGGAAATAGATCACCGCTTACTACTAACTTAACAATTGTGGTTAATTGGTGGTTGAAAAGCAAATTCTTTTTATTAAAGAAGGAATCAACTGACTAATCCATACAGAAATAGTAGTAGTTGAAATATGTAAAAGGTAAACAACACAGATAGTGTTCTACGTCATGATGCATAAGGTGGTGCTAAATACCTCAAAGGAACATATCTACAACCTTTAACAGCTAAATAAATATGTTCGCTTCTTCAACCTCCAAAAAGACTAGGATTTAGAAAAAGATACACAATAACAGTTATCTGATTTCGTCTGCAAACACACAGTTTCTCAATGGCAGTTTGTTTTTCTCCAGCGTCCCAGAATTGCACCGTTGTGAACACTTTGGGGAAGATGGGCTCGGTGATACTGCTGGTATCTATTTCAGAGACAGTACATTTCCTCTCGCTGTGGGGAAGCCAGTTTGCTGTCAGACTCTCCACTCAGTGGTTCGTACAGGGCTTTGGCAGAAACTATGAACTCTCCTCTCACTGCAGGAGCACTTCCTCAAACTGTAAGCGTCAATATTTCAAGATAAACTGGAAGAAAGCCCTCTCTTTGCTGCTGCTGCTGCTGCTGATGCTGATGCTGCTGCACTGGCTATGCAGCTGTTTTTGTCTGCGACGGCTTTCCTTTCAGAGATAATTGTCTCCATTAATATGTTTTCAGTGCTCTGGGGCGGCGCTGAATAACAACAGCAGCGTAACCAAAAGCTGTGATTTTGAAAAGGGAAAGGGGAGTCTTTGCCAGTTCACGTGCGCTGTCACATTCAGTTTAGCTGCAGATGTGCAGATCAAGTCGTTTCCAGACGTGACTACAGAGGATGATTGTATCTGAAGAAAGCTGTATTCTCAGGACACTGCAAGTCTTTTGTTTCCCCTCGAACTGAGACGAGCCTTTGCTGGAGTGTAAATGTTGTAGGTTTGTACTCACCCAGGGGGATGAGGACAAGGGGGGGGAGTGAGGGGTCTCTTGGCCACTAGTTTAGGTTTGATTGGTGGGTTTTGGCCGGAGTAAGGGGAACATCTGTGGCGTGGCAGTGCCAAGCTCTCCATGTGACAGCCACACTGGTGGGACCAATTGTTCTGAGTGCAAAGAACAGTAATCACTTCAAGCCCAAGTGTTGGTGCCGTGTCCCCCCCCCTCCCCTCCCCTCTACATACTCTCCCTCCACCCCCTTTCCATGCTTGGTGCTCTGATTGCGTGTTGTCTAGCTTCCATTCCCATCTAAATGTAGCATCTGTGGATGTGTGTGTTTCTCCAGGAGACTTAATCCACTAGTAGAATGTACATGCTCAGTAACTCCTCCACTTCTCATCCTCAGTTCACAAAAACATGAAAGGCAAGCGAGGAACAGTCTCTGACAGAACATAAAATAAACAAATATGGTTTCATCCTTGTCCAACGCTGGCTTGTAGAATGAATATGAAATCAGGCCTATCAAATCCTGACCTCTGCTGCCCCCTAAGGAGCAGACAAGAAAAAGGCACTGATAGTCACTTCCTCTTCTTCTATTCTCCCAGACAGTGATATCTTAAGCATGTTAAAAATGGCATCCATTCACTTTAAGCTGACAAACCTCTCTTTTTACCTTTGATGCCATGGAGTGGGAGTCCATTTGTTCCTGGTTTGAACAAGTGCACTAAAAAGGCTTGTGCATATTATTTCTCCCAAGCCTAAAGATTACTGAAGAGTGGAGGTGGTGTGTCTCCTATTTATAAAGTGATTTATATTGAGATTTGAAAGCTTTTAGAGGAAAATGTCCTAACAGTGAGTCCAGGTAAATTGTTCAGTTTATTTTGCTGCTTCACTGCAAGACACACAACAGAGTTAGTGAGTTGGCTGCTGGCTCCAGTTGGGGAATGAAAGCCATAAAGGGTTACCTGTAGGTCAAGGAGCCTGTTGTCAGATAAAGTCACAGCACAGCTCAGGGCCGGCTGGAGAAATAAGGGCTTCCTCGGCTATTCATGCAGCCATACAGGGAGATTTATTGCACTCGTGTCGAGGCGTTGCTACAGAAACCTGGGGAGAGGAAAGTCGAGGCATGAGTCTAATGGGGACACACTCCTTCAGCCATGCGCCAATACTTTAAACCTCAAACAAAAGTACGCTAAAGTTTAATAAGATCAATATTTGAGAATGTGTTGGTAAAATGCTGTCCTGTGTTGATAAAACATAAAAAAATTATCCATGTACTTTTCGACTCTTATCTAGCATACTCAGTCAGTTATTCCATATTTAAAAACGATTCATTATTAAAGGAAATTGATGGGTTTGAGATGAGCAATCCTTTTAATAATTAAAATGAGTACTTTATGCCTGATTATGTGTTTTAATATGAATAAATCGCCATGTCACAACTTTCAATTAGGCAGGCTTTCAAACTAGTATTCAGTGCCTTCTCATGCCTTGCTTTACTTATCATGTTTCACCAAATGATTAATACATAGACAACATATACATTATCTGTATTCTGTTTCTTAGTGACCTTTGCACATTGTTTGACTTTGACTAACATATTACCACCTCTCCCTTGTTTCCTCTCCAGCACTTACAAAATCCAGCAAATTTCCACACAGCAGCGACAGAGTTGCTGGACTGGTGTGGTGACCCCCGAGCCTTCCAGCGCCCCTTCGAGCAAAGCCTGATGGGATGCCTAACGGTAAGTCCCGAGTCATGAACACCCTCTGCAGTACTGTACTCCAAAGTTCAAGGACAATGAAAAGGCAGCTAAAACAATTGCTGCATTGGCTCTTTCCATTAATCCCTCAGGGTTACGAGGGAACTAATGTTTAGTTGCCTGATCTTTACTGAGGTTGCTGAAAAATAAAGAGTTTTTCACTCTGTAAAAACTACTGGCATTCAGTCACCTCTCAGTGACTTCAGTTACAGTTTGAAATTGGCACACTGGAGCAGGAAAAGGAGAGCAATAGCGTCCTCAAACCACAAAGCAATCAGTGCTTATAGGGAAATACAGTTACAAAGCCCTTAATTCCCTTACTTAAATGCTTAGGGGCTTTTGATTAATTCAATAATTAGTATCCCGTGGCAATTGAAAAAGACTTGGCTGCTTTGAGATGTATACTGTAAACAAATAATGAGTTTGACTAAAGTGGATCAGAGTATTTTGATTTAGTCAGACACAATCATATACTAAATACTTTACACATATAAACATTAACTTGTAGCCTGAATAGTCCTTCTCGTGTGTGTACCATTTATCCTCTTTTGGCTTAAAAGGTTGCTCTAAAAATGTCACCTTATTCTTTTTTGAGGCAAGTAACATGGATTACAATGTGCAAATACAATTTTCAAACCGTTCCCAATTCATTACTCAGCTGCCAAAACAATGTTAGGAAAATGCTACCTATTTATGTGCAAACAAGATAAAAGGCTAACTGCTGTAGCAACAAATGGAGGCTGTCTATTTAGCCATATCTTCAACTGTTTTTGGTAAAATTGTATTTTAAACGCATTGAACATCCAGGTAGACAACAGTTGTGTTGCAATATCTTAAACCAGTGCCTACAGCTAACGTCTGTTTGGGTATCTATAATTTTGCGAAGATATAGGATGTAACCGTTGAATGGAAAGGTAAATAAGTGTTTGAAAATGTGTCTATAGAGGATGGTGCTTTTTCTTTTTGTTAGTCACCATTGGAATCCATTGTAATGGCATTGAAGCCAAGCTGACTTTAGCCGTTGGCCAAAACAAACAAGTAAACAACAATACATTTAATGAATAGCCTCTTCTGGATTGTTACCCAATGAAGAGATGACACTTTATTTGTTTGAAGAGATACTGAACAGATAGTCAGGCAGAACAATGGACGGCTGAGGATATGTCACTCACCTGTCACCTTGGGCCATTCTGTGCTTTAACACGCGTATTTCCATAACGCCTCCAGCAGTAGATAAGAGATACGTATAACTCCTATTGGGTTCAATTAGTAACCCCTTGGAGCAAGCATGGCTACAGCAAGCCAAGGAACCTGAGAGATTTGTACTTGAGCACCACAATGAAACCACTCTGACACATCCCTCCATTCAAGTGAGTGTTTGTGTTACTGCTTTAATGTGCAGCAGCAGGTGCCTTTCCCTCCATTTCCCCAATTCAATTTGTTTCCTGCCGTGAAAATCTCAAGGCTTTTCCTTTTAGTTTATGGCTTGTATAGGCCTTAGCGTAAACCAAACTGGGAGGCAGCGCAGATAATCTAATGTTATTGTAAAATTACCTAGTCTTAGAGTGTAATGGTAAACACTTCATCCTGTCGCCTGTGTGATTGTCACTGTTGCCTTAACAGTGGTTTTATGTAATCTCAGACAGGTGGCTACACAGAAAAAACAAATATCTTAATATTGTGTCATCAAGAAAATGTGGTTTCGTGACAATCGACAGTCTGATAATGGGATAAGCAATTCTTTCTTGAAAATACCCTAACAATCAGGTCATTACAAAACAGAGCCAACGTTAAAAATAAGAATGAATTGACTTTTTTGTAATGTTTGTATTTACTTCCCAATTTCTAAGACATAAAAACACAAGAATATATATATATTTTTTTTACTGAGAGTATCACGGAGTATACAATATAAAGTTTGAGTGACTTCTGTATGGAAGACAATCCAACACCACAACTCAACTGACTGTGTACAATTAAAGTCCTGAAATTAGAACCACTTATTGTAACTTCTTACACTGGAATTACCATTTAGCAAAATGTCCCTCGCAAGTTTAGATTCTAATTAGACAGATAGGCCAGATATACATGCTCTGTTTTGGTGTCACGTCAGGACTATACTTACAGGAGATAATGATATGGTGCAGGGAGCAATGTTCAGCTGTGCTACCTCGGGGCTTGTCTTGAACTTGGGATCGCGGCTATGAAAACCAGGCAGGCAGAGGAATCCGTCTGTAGTGAGGCATGTTGGTCCACACAGGCCTCAGTATGTCCTAAAGGTTTAAACGTTTTGAGCGGGTCTCTTTGAGCTGATAATGGCAATGGTAAATCAAAGCAACATGTGCCACATAAGGGTAATTTACATCACCTCCTGTGGCATGTGATGTTTCTCTTAATGTTTCCTCACAGTGGGCATCGCGGCACCAGAGGCCACATGTCGTCCACCAACTCATATGGAAATGATAAACTTGCAGTGACTTTATCTTATGGGTGTAACGGGACCTTTGATGCTGCCGAACTTCACTCTTATATAACATTTAGGGTGTCAGGACAAAATGTTGAGTCCTTTGATGAGTTTTACTACTATCATGGTGTTTGAAATGTCTTTTAAGTCATCTATAGATTCTATGGTGTATCTATGAAATCTGGATTTAATACCAATTTCAATCAAATTAGGTAAAAAGACAATTCAGCCATCAGATTAAAGGAAGCTGTGGGTTCAGATCTGGTAGTTCCCTAATATTCTAAAATATAACTTGCATTCAAGTTAATAAGTCAGGCACAATTATTCCATGATGGTCTGTCATTGTGTATTTAAATGCAGACGTTATGTTAAAAAATGTTGGTTCTGAATATCAAAGTTTAAAGGATTGTTTACTCTTTGAACAATAATGGTGTTTTCAGCTCTTTCTACAAGTCTCTGATTTTTATCTGAAGGTTGAATTATGATTCTTCTTTCTAGGAATAGTATAGAAGGATACAAACAAACCTCACCTCATAATAGAATGTAATATATGACTTTGTCCTGACTGCATGCTGTGTTTGTGTTCAGGTGGTCAGCCGGGTAGCAGCGCAGCAAGGCTACGACTTGGACCTGGGCTACCGGCTCCTGGCCGTGTGCGCTGCCAACAGGGACAAGTTCACTCCAAAATCAGCAGGTAAGAACAGAGTTTTCTCAACTGCCGTCTCAGGCCATCTGGCCATGCTGGCCTTTTTGAGCCCAAAGTTCCTGCCTGCATTCTTGGCAGAATTTCATAATACCCACCCACCTCCACTACTTTAGGATCCTGACACTCCAGAAAAGCACTGTACTGTTAGACAGCCTTCTAAATGGTCTCATGATCATAGATTATTTCCAGCGCTCTACATTATACCTTTTATTGTTTTATTGACCTCTTATATCTATAAACTTTGACTTCTTCATGTCCGATCTCACCTCCATACTTGTTCCCATCATAAACTACAGCTCGATTTAGTTTTTTCTCTTGAGTTTTAAGACAAAGTGCGTACAGCAGAATACTCAATTTGTCCCAGGCGACAGAACTACTTTATCAGTGACCATGAGTTCCTGTTTTCACACAGCACCATCATCTCGGTACAGTGATGGATTATTGGGACAGATGTATACTGCTAAATGTTATCAAGCTGGCGAAAAAAGCATGCTGAAATACGAAGGGGATGAAGATGTATCGGCTGTCAGCAGCTTGGAAGATAACCGGAATATTTTGTTCTCCTTTACAGTTTTTGATTTGTGGTTTCCACCTGTCTTAGGTTATGAGGAAAGCGAGGTTGTGCAGTTGCCTCAGTGTGTTCGGCCTCTGCGCTGAGCCGCCCTAAGTGGAGTAGGACATGAAAGTCAGAGCCACATATTGTTTGAATTTTCACTTGCATTTGCCTTTTCTGATTTACGGCGTCCATCTTTCACAAGTGGTAATATGAAGCTTAAAATCCTGCAATGCCACTCCTATGTCGGCCTCGAGATGGGAATCATTCTCTGCTTGCAATTAACTTACAATGCCAAATTTTCTAATTCTACTTAATGCTAAATCAAATCTCAGGCCCTACTTTATGGGCTTAGATAAGATTGCCAATTGATTCTCTGTCTGAATAATTTCCTGCTACAGTAGTCATTTGGAAAACCGGCAAGTACTCCAGTCTAGGCAGTATCCCAAAGTGCATTTCATGGACAATTATGTACCTGTATATGCATGAATATTTTTAGAGGCCTGTAAGAACTGAGTCAATGAAAAGACTCTGAGGAGACATTCTCCAGAAGCTCTTTAGAGTGGAGGCCCCGGTCGAGGAGGTTGTTAAGGCGGAGAGAAAGCCCTCTCTGGCAGCCCAGGGAGACGGCTCTTAAACAACACTCCCACCGGGCCCCAGGGGCAGGACCCACTTCGCAGCATCCTGCGGGGCCGTTGCCCAGTGACGGGGGAAGGGAGGGAGTCACATGACGGGGATGGCGGCGGCAGGTCAGCCATCCAACACCAGAGACAGAAGAGTTAGTGTCTGCCGTTCAGCAAGGAACAAATCTGAGAGGCTGTAAAAGTGAATCCAGCCTGCCATTCATTGAGTAATAATTAATGTAGCCAAATCTGACAGTTTTTATTGGATGTGATCCAAGTTTTTTTTTTATTCAAATTATCAGCTGTCATCAATACGCTTAGTCTGCCATTTGTTGCATAACAGTCTTTTTTTATTGTTCTGGATACAGCCAGCTTGAAACAGTTCCAACTTATGTTGGTTCTTTATCTCTACTAACAAAGGTACTTGAATAGCGCAAAGCCTGGGACTTTTATCCAAAGAAAAAAGCTTTAAAAAAGTGAAAAAGGTGCATTTGAAGCCAACTCTTTATTCTCATAACCAAAGTCCTGCCCAGTCATATTGTGCATCTTGTAATCTGCTCTGAAAATCTATGTCCATAATGGGTGGGGAGGGGGCAAGTTCTCTGGTAATTACAAGAGGGGCTGCCACAGAGGACAGAGGGTCAATGGCTGAGCGCTAATAAGTAAATCAGATTTGGTGTCCCATTTTAACCAGGCCTAACTTGTCTTGGCTCTGACGTGGCGGAGCTATTACATTTCTTATGTCATCGAAATTCTTCTCTTGAAGATGGGAGAAAATTGCAGGGGAAATTGGGCTGTAGGGAGGGCAGAGCTGATTTCAGCTGTAGAAAATCAATGCTCACAGTCGACTTACAGCGGAAACAGGTTGTAGCTTTGACAAATAGTTTTGACCAACACTTTAGAGACATGATATCATTAATTTAATTGTAAGAAAAAGCTTAGAAAGGGAAAAATAGACTGATAATCCTGATGACAACAGCGGTATTCTCTCGCCTGAGGAAAACTTCATTATAACCGCTTATTGAAGTGAGCAGTTTAGATGTTGACTAATCAAACAGTGTGTTTTAATGGAATCTGTAGTCTTTAATAGATTTACTCAGTTGTAGTCCTTTGCCTTTTTGCAGGCGGCTCTCAATGCTCGGGAAGAGCTGGGGGAGGGGCGACTGTCTGCTTGTAGTGACCTCTTTGTGAATGAGATTAGCCTGCTCTATTAATCTGTGATTACTTGGACTGTTTTACCGCAGGGCAAAACCATGCACGTAGAGCCTTGGTGACACCAAAGCACGGAGATCACTTGTTCGGTGTGGATCATCTCATCAAGGCCTCCTCTCTCTCCCTCTCCATCACAGGGTGCATTACAAGCCCTCTAAAGGCATCTCTCTACTGTGTCACACCCCTCCCGCAGGATGGTTCAGTCTGGTTAGAGAGCGCAGACAAGACGCCTAATCACGGTTTTTCCTCCAAGAGGGTCAGAGTGGCACATTCCCAATCGTTTGCGCCTCAGCAAGCTCTTGGAATTCCTCGGCTCTAAAGAGTGAAAGGAGGCACCAACTTATAAGAGAGGGGGGGACCAGTCCAAGTTTTTCACTTCATTCTCTGGTGTAACAAACGCCTGGTAAAGCAGCTATTCAGCAGATAATTAGTTGGGCTTTAGCTCTCGCTCTGTCAGCATGGATTGTCTCCACGCTTGTTTTACACATGCAAGGCTGTTTTCAAATTTGATCAAAAGACATTGTGGGTTGTAGTTAACAGTGTCAGCACGATGATAAAAAACACATCTCAGCAACACAGTTTTTATGCTTTGCTTCATCTTTTCTTGTTGGTTGGATTGAGGGGGTATTCACAGTGTGGGACTAGGAGGGGATGTTTTGTATGCAGGCAGTCGTAGATCAACATTAGGCAGTGTGAACAACTGCTTCTTAGATTAGAAATCGAAGAATCTATCTAGGAAAAAAAAAACATGACAGCTGGCAAAGTGAAGTCAGTTTTATCTATGTGCAAAATCTCAAGTTTGTCTCCAGAGGGCCTTAAAACATGCAGACATGCCACAGGTGTAGGAGTAGAATTACAGTATGGAGAAACAGAATTACAAGAAAGTACTTTAATAGAAAGTACAAACCATTTGGTCAAATCAATCAGAATTGTAGACATAAACATGATTTAAAATGAAGGCTTAAATGAAAAGTAACATTGTCTGCTGGCTATTAATTAAACTATGGTAATTCTGAAGACAGGAAAGTTGCAAAATATCTCACTTGTTACAAAGAAAAATACCTTTAAGATAAATGTGTTTATACTTTAAACTTGAAATGGTTGTATTTTCTTATTCAAATCTATCATACAGTATATTCGCTTTAAACTGTAGTTTAAAGTGCTGATCATACACCGGCCTTCCAGTAAAGTGGTGCTGAAGACTTAGTGGTCAGACGTGTTGTCATTAAGCTGTGGAGAAGTCTCTGATTGTACGCACAATACAGAGGTCAGATACACACACAGGAATGAAGGGCTGTAATTTCTCTTCCCAGAGATTCCCACACCAAAATATTTTTTTTTTAAACTTTTTGTCCATCTCTCCACCCTGTGTGCTCCAACATATAGTTTGTGGCTGTTCCTAAATAGAGAATAACACAATGTTGGTGGTCGAGTTTGACTGTCAGCAGCTGTTGAGAAATAGACAACCTTTAGTTAATTAGATTTAAATGCATATTTCAGACTATTTTCCAAGTATGGGAGCCTTACTTTAGATGGTGAGGAGGCTGTTGTGGTTTCCTAAGTGGTGTCTGCTATTATTTTTGTCAAAGAACATTGTCATCATTGTAGGTCTGCTTTATCTCCGAGAAAAAGTCCAACACAAAAGCAGATTTTCTGAATTAGAAAAACGATATTTATGATGTAATGCTTAATGTTATCTCTTTAACTATCTTAGATTAATATTATGATATGATTGTATTTCTTTTCTACCTGTTGAGCTTAAATTGCTCTTCCTAAATTCCTCTTTAACTTTTTTAAAGAAAAATATATATACTGTAAGCGATATAGCTAAGTTTGGTGCACCCTTACATTAAACATAACACATTTTAAGCTGTATTCTGCATCACATTATTCACATTTCTCCTAAATCTCATGCAATAATGAAACTTTGGAAACTTAAGTTGTCTCCTTTTAGTAAAAAAAAACCCAGTTACATGGATTGGAAAAAGCTTGGCTGCCCCAGTTTATGAAGACGGACCCGTGTCAGAGTTTACAACGTTAAAGGCTCATTATTTATGATATGAGTGTCACAGAAGCTGTAAATCTCCACTGTGTCCACTTCGGACCATCAGTGTGTTTTACACTATATGATCACTGTATGTGAAGTGTTCCAGCTATGATGGATGTGTTGACTTGCAGTAGGAGTTCAGGGCAGTAAGTCACCTGCCGTGCACTTAGCTGATAGTAAATACCAGGATAGCAAATACGGACAGGAGATAAGAGCTTTAGAGCCCGTACGTCCTCCTCTGTCGTCACCGTTAATATGTCAGCAGCAGGAGGTGATTGGAAACATCTTCTAATTTAAAGTGCAACAAAATCAGATGTTTGCATATCAGAATTAATTAACATAGCAGGTTGCGTCTCTAATTAAATGTACATTTTTGTATATTAGCCGCAGATCGGTTGACATCTGAATGCACTCTCACTGGTGTGTGTGTTTGTGCGCGAGTATTTTTATTTGCACGTGACAATAGATGCTTGAGACTGCCTCGGGTGTTGTGTCTACCCACAGTTTGCATGTTTTATGTGTGTGTAATTATTTATCCACAAGCTTACTGTGGCTCATGTGTGCTGAAAGACAAATGTTGTCTAATTGGCCCCTCCCTCTCTGATTCCAACCCTGTGCGCATCAGGAAGCCACAATACCCAGCCTCCTCCCCCTCCTCCTCTTTCATCCATGCCCCTTAATTACAATGACTAGTTTGATAGATTAAGTCAACTGTATGCAAAGACCAGGTTTGGTGTCTCAAATCACTGCTCAATGTGCCCACCTAAACAGTTTCTATCACCAATTTTCCGGAGATTGCGCTGCATCTCCCCTCGTAACAAATGTTGCTTTAAATGAATTGATTGAGGCTTCTTTTACTCGTTGCTCTGGACGAGGGCCAAGATACAGGCTGTCTAGCACATTAGGCACCACCCCCCTTTGCAGGTTTGAAATGTGAGCTGCCTGCATTTTTTTCCCTCTCCTCTCCTCTCCTCCCTCCTCCCCTGCCCTCCCCTCCCCCTCCCCTCCCTCTCTCCCTTCTGGCGAAGTGGCTGTGGCTGCTTCTGTGTGATGTGTGTATTGGGAGAGCAAGCAATGGATCACTAGACAGAAAAAGAAGATACATCAATAACTGCTGCATACATCCGAGGTGAGGAGATAAGCATTTGGTTCTCTCTCTCACTATCTGCCCCCCCCCCTTTCTCTCCCCCCTGTGTCTCC